TCAGGTGACTACTATCCAACTAACAGTCCACGCGTGGAGTATAGCTGGCAAATAACATGTAATCATCACAGTTACAGCCTCACTGACAAAACCATCCGGAACAAGATTTTAAAAATAGCCTCTGGGAGCCAAAGAGATAATATGTTGTGCAGGGCTCTTGCCTTGCATGCAGGTGACCCAAGTTTGATCCCTGGCACCTCATATGGTCCCTTGAAGGAGTTATCCCTGAGCACAGAGCCAGGAGTAAGCTCTAAGCACTGCCAGGTGTGGTCCCTCCAGGCTGGGGAGTTGGTTCAGCAGAATGGAGCACAAGCTTTATATGCAGGGCCCCCAGATTCAATGCCTAGCAGCATGATACCCTGAAATTGATGTGAGTGGCCCCAAAACAGAGGGGGGGGAGGAAAGGAGGCAGGGAAGCGGGGGGGGGGGGAGAGAATAAGAGAGAGAAAGAGAAAGAGAGAGAGAGAGAGAGAGAGAGAGAGAGAGAGAGAGAGAGAGAGAGTGTTCAGGTGAATCACATTCAAATATCCTAACCAAAGCAAAGTCTGGGGGATGGGACAGCAGTGGTGGGCGATATTAGATTAGCTTCAGGAGACCAAAATAATTCTTAGTAAAAAGACAGAATATGGGGGGAGGGAGGAAAAAAAAAGAAATAGAATACATTTCATATTTCTTTCATTTTGTGGAGTGGTGGTGGTATAATGTTTGGGCCACACCTAGAGGTGCTCAAGGCTCACTCCTGGCTCTGAGCTCAGGGATTACTCTTGCTCAGGGGACCATACGGGATGCCAGGGATCAAACCTGGGTCAGTCGCATGCAAGGCAAGTGCCCTACCTGCTGTACTATGGTCCAGCCTACATTTCATATTTCTCGGAATATGTTTATAAAAATTATCTGGTTTTATTTTGATTGGCTCACAAGCTTGATTAGTAAAACTTAAAAAAAGTACTCCTGGTGTTGAATGACATGATAGTAAACAAGTATCAGTTGTTTTGATGCTACTTGGGACCAAGGTACAAAGGAGTGTACATGGACAGTAATGGCTGTAATGCCGTGTTCAGAAATCAGTGTCCTGACGTGCCTACTGGCATTTGGAGGCAGTATATCCTATTTCAAAGAAAGTATGTCAGAGTTTGAAAACAATGGCCCAGGGCCTGAAATGCAATCTGATTTCTTAAAATTACTCTACAAATTTCAGCCTCTATCATACTCTCGTGAGCAAAATAACTCAATCAACTATAATGATGTTTTCATTTTGTCTCATAGATCAATCTATGTCTCTAAACTCATCGACCTAATTAATTAACCTGGAAATTCACAAACTTTAAATGTATTAAAATGTCGGGGTTGTTCTTTATACCAAGTGATTTTATTAGTGTGCTAATGGTTCTTTCCATAAACAAAAGGAAAGCCCGATCTCCCGATCTCCCGGGGATTCCTTTTTATACTTTGTTTGCCAGTGGCTGACTTTCTCGGCTACAGACAAAGCTTGTTTTCCACACTATCTTCAGCTGCTCTCCGTCATCATGAACCAGGAAGAACCACAAATGTTTGTAATTACTTTTTATTGTTTTTTGTTTTGGCAGTGTTGGGAATTGAACCCAGGACGTCACACATGCAAGGCAAGTGTTCTATAGATGAACAACAATCCCAACTCATGTGTAATGTTGTTGGGGGCCTCACCCAGGTGTCACAGGACGTACTCCTGGTTCTGCACTTAGGGATCACTCCTGGCAGGTTCCGGGGAACTTATGGAGTGCCAGGATCAAACCTGGATTGGCAGCATTCAAGGCAAAGCGTCCTCCCCACTGTGCTATTTCTGGTCCCTATTTTCAAGGAGTTCCTGGATTTTGCTACTAGAATGTGTCAAACCTGGTGGGAGGGTAGGGACCCAGTCAGTGATGAAGAGAAGCAGACAGTATGCTGAAGGGTATGATATTGGAGTGCTGTGTGGATAAAACCCTGTCATTAACAGTACTATAAATCATGGTGCCTCAAGTAAAATTTAAAAAGATGGCCAGAGAGACAGTACAGAGATTAAGGTACTTGCCTTGCACAGAGCCAACCCTGGTTTTGATCCTATGCGCTACATAAGGTCCCAGAGCACTGTCCCTATAAAGAAAGCCAGGAGTACGCCCTGTGCTGCCTAAGTGTGACACAAATATGATTAAAAAAAAAAAAAAGAAACAAAAACCAGGTGGGAGGATGACAGTACAGTGGGTAGGGCACTTGCCCTGAACACGGCCAACCCAAGTTCGATCCCTGGCATCCCACAAGGTCCCCTGGGCACCACCAGCAATAATTCTTGAGTGCAGAGCCAGGAGCATCATTGGGTGTGGTCCAAAAAACAAAAACAAAAAATAGCATATTTAGACCAGAAAGATAGTTCAGGGGCTAAGGTGCTTGCCTTGCATGCAGCTGACCTTAGTTCAGTCTTCCAGTCGTGTATTGTCCCTAGAACACCACCAGGGGTCATACTGGTGACTCAAGTCACCCCGAGTGGAGAGCTAGGAATAGCCCCTGATGATGGTCTGGTGTGGCCCAATTACCTGTCCACCTGGACCAAAAACGAAAAAAAGAAAAAATGGGTGTGGGTAGATGTTTTCATTCTGTTTCTACAATCTGGTATTAACTGATTACATGATAAATCCATTTCTTAAAATTTGAACTATGGTTTAAATTCATGGAAGCCCAGGCCAACCCTATATGTGGGATGCCCTGACTTCAATCCCTAGTACCACTAAAATAAATAAAGCCATGGGAACTAACAATAAATTTATATCTTTTCCACCACCATGTATGGCTCTGGTGGCCCCTCAAGCACCCCAGGGCCCACGGACCACCCGGTATGACACCTCCAAACTAAATAAAAAATATAAACAAAAAGCAAATAATAAAAAATCTCTATCACTTGGGGTCAGGGGCCGGCTCACTGGCTGAGTGCCATCTTGCAAGTGTAAGGCGGCAAGTTCGATCCCCAGTGCTGCCATATGCACGGATAGACATGATTCTTGCATTTCTGTGGTCACTAGCACTGCCTGTGATTTGTTTTCTTTTTCCTTTGATCTTAGGGCTATACCCAGCAATGCTCAGAGGTCCTCCTGGCTCTGTGACCAGGGGTGGCCCACAGAAGTACTCAGGGGACCACACTGTCTAGGCCTCCCATATGCAAAGTGTGCGCTCAGTCCACTGAGCACTCTCTCTAGCCCTGAAAGCTATTTCTGGACGCACACAGCCAGGTGTGTATGAGCTGCATACCTACGCAACCAGAAGCTCCCTAGAAAGCACCACAACTCAAGATGTATTAGCAACACAAGCAGAGAGTGCAAGCCTCGCCAGCACCATGCGAGGACAACAGCGGCCCTGGAGACCACTACAACCAGAGTGCGTGAGGCACAACTAAACATCCTGACCTCCATCAAGCTTGTGGGCCAGCACCACTTCTTTTTTTTTTTTTTAATTTTATTTTACTGAATCACTGTGATATAGTTACAAGTTTTCATATTTGGGTTACAATCACACAATGATCAAACACCCATCCCTTCACCAGTGCACACTCCCCACCACCAATCTCCCCATTATACCCCCCCTTCCCCTGCCTCCATGGCAGACAATATTCCCCATACTCTCTCTACTTTTGGGCATTATGGTTTGCAATACAGACACTGAGAGTCATCATGTTTGGTCCATTATCTACTTTCGGCACACATCTCTCCCATCCCCATCAATTCCTCCAGCCATCATTTTCTTAGCGATCCCTTCTCTATTCCATCTGCCTTCTCCTCTCTGCTCATGAGGCAGGCTTCCAGCTATGGAGTAATGCCAGCACCACTTCTAACAGAGCACCACGACCCTGTCACCGAAACAACAGCAGAAAGGGAACGAGAGGAAGCTCGACCTTTGGTGCTTGGATGTTCCCATTTGCCTGCAGTTTTTACTACCACCTCAGTCATAACATTAAGGACTAAAACAAACAAAAAAGGGGGGGGAGGAGCTGAGAGATGATACAGGGGGTATGGTGCTTACCTTGCATGTGGTCAACCCCTCGGGTTCAATCCCCAGCACCTCCTATGACTCCACAAGCCCTGCCAGGATGCTCCTTGAGCACAGAGCCAGGAGTAAGTCCTTAGCACTGCTGGCTGTGGCCCCAAAACAAAACCCCCAAAAAGTGGGCATACATCATTCTCTCTCTCACTTCCTCATTCTTTGCCTCCTTTCCTTCCCTTTGTTGTTTTAACTATAGGAGTCACACTTGGTCCTGGTGCTCACCAGGGGCTGCACACTTTAGGAGCAAGGCTCAAACTGAGTTGTGGTGCACTGAGGCAGCACACATGGTTAGTGGCGGTACTGGGGATCACAAACATAATGCCACTGGATTGTATCCAGCATGTGTGCAGTGCCAGAGCTGGGACTCTTGGCCCCTGGCAGATAGACATGTGCTGTATCAGTGAGTCAGCCATAGGCCCGTCTTCCTCTCTTTGCCCCAGCACACAAGTGCACGGTCTCCTAGGAAGGATTTTTCCCCCTTATCGATTGCAGTGAAATAGCACAGCAGGTAGGGAGTTTGCTTTGCATGCGGCTGACCTGGGTTCGATTCCTCCGTCCCTCTTGGATAGCCTGGCAAGCTAACAAGAGTATTCCGCCCACATGGCAGAGCCTGGCAAGCTCCCTGTGGCATATTCGATATGCCAAAAACAGTAACAAGTCTCACAATGGTGACATTACTGGTGCCTGCCCGAGCAAATTGATGAACAACTGGAGAACAATGCTACAATGCTATCAATTGCGGTAAATAGCTTTCTGTATAAGGCAGTTAGATCTAGATACAATAAGAAAGACAAGCAAAGAAATTCTTCTATTCCTTTGGGAAACATCAGCTTGTCTACACATACAGTTGGAGGAATTATTTATGGCTGTGAATAGTTAGCTTCAGTTTCTACCTTTCTGGAGATGCCCCTGGGATCGTAAGAGAAGGCTTTTGGAGAAATCACCCTTCATACCTCCTGTGTGACCTTTGAAGGTCACCACGCAGTTAGCATCTTCAGCTGACCAGATCTTCAGCTGAGCGTCCATTCCCCCACTCAGAACCACAAGGCCTGATGGGAAAAACCTGCAACAATTCACATCAAACACATGTCCTTCCAATACTCTCTGGAAAAACAAAAGAAAATTCCATGCTAGTTCTCTTGTCAAAGCCCCGAAGACCACTTACTTCCCAATCTGAAGTCTGTCCTATACAACATTCACATGCTGAGTTTCATGAGACCCAAATATTTCTAGTTCTAGTTCATTAGTCTGTCAGATAGTGTTCTAAGAATTGCTGGCTACGTCCCTGGACTTTAGCCAGAAGAGCTCTGGGTTTAAACCCCCAAATTCCCACAGCCATCCGTAGTCTAATTCTACATATAAGCCGACAAGACTGGAGAATGCTTTTACTCATCTCTTATATGTAAGCTGGAAAACTCAACCATATATTCAATATAAAGGGATGCTATTCTGTTTTGGAAACCAATCACTGAAAGCAAGTCGTGCCACTTTTTACCTGGTAATTCACTGGCCTGACTCTTCCATGTTCTAGTCCCTATTTTGTTATAGTGAGTCATCAAGCTTGACCATGGTTCTGAGACTACCAGATAGAAAATTAAATTATAATGTGACTTTTTTTTAATGAGCAACTCTTTCTTTCCATGATCCAGCTCAAGATTCTTTTCAGACCACCCTTCATGTAAAAAATCCAAAAAGTATACCCAAAGCCTTACTCTGAGCTCTCCATTGGCAGCCTGCCAGACCTTCATCGTCCCATCGGCACTACAAGACACACCAAGGCCTCCTCCACTGGAGATGTCCAAGCATGTTATCTGTCCAAAGACAAACCCATGAAAGTGACAAATCTTCAAATGCTCCTTTCCACTGAAGTACATTATGAATGCCCTTTGTTTCATACTCTGCACTAAAAGCATAAGTCAAATTAACATTCTGTAATTCATTTGGAGCCAAGTGACACTCATGTGCTCTTCGGGAGAATAAAAAATGCTGGGAGATTTGTGAGTCCTGATGACGTCTGTCCTCCAACACCAAGGACATGTGCTTCATAGTAAGGATGAATTGTTATCACCAATCTCCCAACAAGGGCACACCTTTCATTTCTCTAAACAAATAAGGTCTTATAATCTTCTATTGTCCCCTGCTTCAACTAAAAAGTTTTCTGGTATACCAAAAACATAAAAAAATTATAAAATAAAAATATGAAAGATAATAAGTATGGGGCCCTAGAGAAAGAACACACAGGGCACTTATCTTGCACAGAGCTGGCCCAGATAGATAGGCAGAAGGTTCAATGAAAGCGTCTAAGAATGGAACTGTGATTATTTTTAATATGGGCTATTACTAAAATTTTCACAACAGTTATCTTTTAAGATCGAAGAAATCTAAGTGATTTTTACTCTCTTTTACATTTCCTAAATTTGTTTGCTTTGGGGCCACATATGGCAGTGTACTGATGGTGCTTTAAAGACCATGCGGTGCTGGGGATCAAAACCCAAATTTCCTACGTGCAAAGCACATGTTCAGAAAATTCTGGAAATACAGCACCAAAAATCTTCTTTGGTACCATAAAGGTAAAGGTAAAGGCCCTCCCGTTGATCGTCGATTTGCTCGAGCGGGCCCAGTAACGTCTCCATTGGAGACTTTGTTGTTACTGTGTCTGGCATATCGAATACTCTCGGTAGCTTGCCGGGCTCTCCGAGAGGGGCGGAGGAATCGAACTCGGGTCGGCCATGTTGGCCGCTTGTAAGGCAAACGCCCTACCCGCTGTGCTATCGCTCCAGCCCTTTGGTACCATATTTCCTAAATTTTCATCACTGGAAAAAAAATATTTTTTTTGAAGAAAGGTAAAAAATATCCCCCCCCGCCCCCCCGCCAATGAATGAATTCTCCTTTTCTCTCTCTCTCTCTCTCTCTCTTTAATCATTGTTGTAATTACTGGAGATCACTCACTCGCATGACTGTGGTATTTGCAACGTTATGGTGCTTACTCACCAGCAGCTGCATTCTTTAGAGATGGTGCTTGCAAAAATCCTGGCTGTCATCTCACTAAGGGCTGCGTACTTCAGCTGTGGTGCTCGAACAAACAAGCAACTAGGGGTGCCAGAGCTGGTTGAGCTGTGTTACCACTTGTAATAATCACATATACCTTGTTGCAGAGCAAGGTATATCTATTGTGTCGCTGGGGGACCAAAGAGCAGAGACTATGCTTGGCACATGTGCACAGCACTTGGGATGGAAGTCATGGATTCATGTTTCCAAGGCAAAGCTTGTCACTAAGCCTCTGCGGGTACCAAAATGCTATCTTTTTTGTTTGTTTGTTTGTTTTTGAACCACACCCTGCAGTGCTCAGGGGATCATGCAGTGCTAAGGATCAAACCTGGACCTTCTATCTAATATGCAAGGCATGTACTCTAGCCCACTGGGCTCTCATCTCTCCAGTTTCCCAAAAGCTATCTTTTTAGGCGACACCCAGCAGTGCTCAGGGCTTACTCCTGGCTCTGTGCACAGGAATAATTCTCAGTGGGGCTCAGGAGACCATCTGGGATGTCAGTGACAGAATCTGAGTCGTGTGCAAAGCAAACACCTACCTACTATACTATTGCTCTAGCCCAAAAGCTATTGTTTTTAAGTGCCAGAGAGAGAGCACAGTGGGTAAGGCACTTGCCTTGCAAGTGGCCAACCCAGGTTTGATCTCCAGGACTACATATGATCCCCTAAGCAACTCCAGAGATGATCCCTGAGCACAGAGCCAGGACTAAGCCCTAAGCATAGTTGGGGTCTGACTCAAAAAAACAACAAAAAAGTAAATGCCCCAGGAAAAAAACTGGATAATTTTAATAAAATCAGTTTCTTTTAACAAAATCTATTTCCCTCTTCTGCTTCCTGAATCTCTCTTTCATGGTACTTGAAAGGGCTTCATTACAAAGTCTTTCAAAAATTATTTTTCAAAATCATGTGCATGGGAAATCACCAAAAACAGTATTGCAAATTAGAATCTCAATCAATAAAAATATAAAATAATATTTTTAAAAAGGAAAAAATTTATTCCTCAATATACCATGATTTTAATTTTGAGAAAATATCAAGGATATTTTCTTGATGCCCTTGATATTTTCCAAAAGAGCCAGAAATGTAAGCAGTTCAAATAATGCAAACATCAGCTACTTTTATTATCTAAGCTGGTGAGTAGCTCTGCTAAAACACGTAGAAGGAAATTTTACACAGTTCCTTCCTCTAAGATTTGTACACATATTTTATAAAGCCACAAACTGCTTTTGCTAAATATATTTCTTCAGCTGTGCTACCTTTCAATGCATGTTAAATGAAAGACATTAATTATGCATACGTGTGTAGCACTAGATAGAAAAATGAAAAATAGGCTATTACATTTTCACCTTATTTAAACAAGATACTTACACTCTTTCCATGAATTCTGGAAAATGTAGTATATGGTGCCAAAAACTTTGAAGATGCATTTTCTTTTGGACATGAAATATGAATGCTTTTCTAAATAGAAAGGGAAAGATAAAATTCATCAGTAAAACTACTCTCTGAGAATCAAAGTCAAAGTTTCATTTAAAAAAAGATGGGGGAGGCACAAAAGAGATAGTACAGTGGGTAGGGCACTTGCCTTGCACGCAGTGGACCAGAGTTCAATCCCTGGCATCCTTATCGTCCCCCGAGATTGCCAGAAGTGATCCCTGAATCCCTAAGCCCAGAGCCAAGAGTAATACCTGAGCAGAGGTAGGTGTAGCAAAAGTCCCAAAATAAATAAATAAGAAGAGATACTTGATTCAAAGAATAAAATAAAAACTGATACTTGATTCAGCTGTGGGAAAAAATTTAGGTATGTCTGTAATACTTGGGCATAAAGATCTATATTTTCTTTTCTTCTCTTTTTTGCTTTTCTGGGCCACACCCAGTGATGCTCAGGGACTGAAGATCAAACTCAGGGTCTCATACATTACCAGGCATATGTTCTACCCTGTGAGTCGCATCCTTGGCTCTCAACTAAAAGTTTAACAAAACCTACAAAACATACATATTATGTATTTCCACATACATATTATGTATTTCCAATAAAAGATTACAGTCAGAGTGGAAATGTGCTTCAAAGAGTTAAAATACACAAAGAATCTCAAAGATTAAGAAAAAAAGAAATGTAAATAGCCCATTATTTTATTTAAAAAGTCATTTTAACTTTATTTTGGTAATACTCAATGGTGCTCAGGGCTACTCCTGGCTCTGTGCTCAGGGGTTGTTTCTGGCAGTGATGCAGAACATCAAACCCAGGCCTTCAGCATCCAAGGAATGAGCTCAGCCCACTGTTTTAGCTCTTTGACTCATTGATAATAATACGTGTTACTACTAAGTATAGGCTGAAATATTTTAGAGATTTGAGTTTATTTTAACCTTTTCCCTCTCTTCCTTTCCCTTTTGTTGTTGCAGTGACCCTGGGTTGCACAGATTCTTTGTTGTAGGGTGTACACACTTGGCTGTGGTGTGTACTGAGCTGGCACACATTAGTTTCAGTGCTTGCGCACACCTGGCTATGCACTGGACCTCACACACTGTCCCCAAAAGGAGAGCGTGCTTGGCAAATGTGGGTGGCCCTTGACATTCAATTCAGCCTTAAGCTTGCAAAGTGGACACTTTTCCTGCTGAGTCATCCCTAAAAATTTTAAATTTAAAAAATTGTGACCAACCCCAGCAGTTGCTCAGGTGCAACTACCAGCTCTGTATGTGGTACCCTGCTCCTGAAGGCACCTGGGAGACAAAGTCATGCTGGGGATCACACCTTGGCCAAACAGGAACTCAGCCCAAGGAACTATCTTGCCAGTCCTGTGTGGGCCATCCCCCCACCCCCGCTTTTTTTTTTAAGTAATTTTTGTGGTCACTAGAATAACTTAAATTATTTATGGGTTCACATTATCTACTTATTGGACAGTGCTGGAATAAGGAAGTTAAGAGGAAGTATGAGCTTCTTCTAGAAACTGCATCAAAAAATATCTGTCCTAGGGGCCAGAGATACAGTAACTTGGATTGAATTCCTGCCTTGCACATGGCCAACCCATGGCTGGATCCCCAGCACCTCATATGGTGCCCTGAACACTGCCAGGACTACCTGCTATACTGACTACCTGATCTGGCCCAGAAGTTATTTTTCCCTGTGTGAGCCAGATATGCTGCTGTGTGTGGCTCACAAAAGAACAAAACCAAAAATACCCACAAATATAATTGCATAAACATTTAAAGTAGATATAAAATACAAAGACTAAAGTAGATAGTGAGGTCTGCCATAATTTTGAATGCAGTACTAAGACATAAATCCTACCTTATTTATTTCATTCACAATGAATCCTTCTGAAGCTATAACCTCTGGGATGCCATCGAGGCCAAGTCCTTGACAAGTCAGGCTGCCATAAAGAGTTGGTTTCCCTAGATAGCACAAAGGAAGCATATCTCCAAAATAACAAGAATTGAACATTTTTCTCCCTTAAGAGCCAATTCAGGGTCTAGAGGGAGGGAAACTGGCTCTTGAAAGAAAAGAAAGCACTTGTGTTAAAAGAGAGATCAAGCAAAAAGAACCCTAGCCTTAGTGAACCTAATTTGGAGGGAAATCCACTGAAGGGTTAAAAGTCAGTAACAATAATTTAGAGATACAATAGAGACCACTAATACACTCAGCTCAACCTGAGGCTTACTGCTTGTGAAATGAAATGTTTCCAGAATAAAAGGTGAAGGACACCGTGCATATACTGATGCAGTGTGTATACATATGTGTGTGTGTTGTGTATACATATATATGTATGTATGTGAATGTATGTATATACATAATTCAAAGAGAAGAGTTAGACTTCTGTATCCAGAAAACTGGCTAAAGGAAAACACTGCTTCTGCAGTGACATAGGCTAATTAATATCTTATACAGGAACATGCAGAAGTTAGCATGAAATTTAAGGTATTCTATTCTTTTGCACTTTGTATATGAAGTTCCATAAATACACATATTTCTCACCTTTCTGCAGAACTATGAAACCTGAGATCTGAACAAAGGAGGGTGTCAAAATTACTTAGCAAATCACTGTGTACCAAACTGAAATTCTGTTCGAGTATGATGCATGTTGAAGCCATAACAGTTTCAAAGTGGTAGGACTTCTAACAGAGAGTGGGGCTTGAGAAAGCCAAGAAGATAGCATTCAATGTGGGAGATGTTAAAGCAAAGGATACTGTGAGTCAGAGAGAGGCATGTTAAGAATAAAAGAAAATCAGAACCGGGCTGGAGTGATAGTAGGTAGGGTGTTTGCCTTGCACATGGCTAACACGGGTTCGATCCCCGGCATCCCATATGGTTCCCTTGAGCACCAGGCAGGAGTAATTCCTGAGTGCAAAGCCAGAAATAACCCCTGAGCATCACCAGGTGTAGCCTGAAAACCAAAAGAAAGGAAAAAAGAAAAAAAGAAAATCAGAACCAAGAGATAGCTCAATCGGCTGAGCTCACACTTTGCATGCTAGAGGTCGGAGTTTGAGCCCCTGCACTGCATGGTACCAAGAGTAGTTCCTAAGCACTGTCATGTGTAGTCCAGAAGCAGAAATAATGAACGACAGGGTTGGAGCGATAGTACAAAGGGAAAGGCGCTTGCCTTGCACATGATCCACCTGGGCTCCATCAATCTCCAACACCACATGTGGTCTCCCAAGCCCTGCTGGGAGTGATCCCTGACAGCAGAGCCAGGAGTAAGCCCTGAGCATTGCTGTGTGTGGCCTCAAACAAAATAAATATGCACTCAAAATTGATTTCTCATTAAATAATAAATTATTGTATTAAGATATCAAGGTAAAATAAAAATAACTTATGAGATAATGGTGGAGGAAAGTGAGCACTCTGGTGGAGGGTGTGGTGTTCAACCTTCTATGTATGAAACTCTACCACTGAAAGTACTGTGTCTCAAAATCATGGTGTCTCAAACAAAATTTTTTCTTTAATATATTTATTTGGGCTGGAGCGATAGCACAGCGGGTAGGGCGTTCGCCTTACAAGCGGCCAACATGGCCGACCCGAGTTCGATTCCTCCGCCCCTCTCGGAGAGCCCGGCAAGCTACCGAGAGTATTCGATATGCCAGACACAGTAACAACAAAGTCTCCAATGGAGACGTTACTGGGCCCGCTCGAGCAAATCGACGATCAACGGGAGGGCCTTTACCTTTTTACCTTTTTAAATATATTTATTTATTTATTTTTGGCTTTTTGGGTCACACCTGGCAATGCACAGTGGTTACTCCTGGCTCTGCAGTCAGGAATTACCCCTCACGGTGCTCAGGGGACCATATGGGATGCTGGGAATCGAACCTGGGTTGGCCGCGTGCAAGGCAAACGCCCTACCCACTGTGCTATTGCTTCAGCACAAGTTTAAATGTATTTAAAGGTCAGTCATAGCTAGAGTGCATGATTTTCAAGACGGAGCCTTGGGCCAAATCCCTAGTACCACATCCCAGTACACTAGAGTCCCACTGGGAATGACCTGCAAGCACTGAGCTGGAAATAGCCCCAGCACCACTGGGTGTGGCCCCCCCCAAAACCAAAAATATCAATAACTATAATAAGTAAAATAAAACTTCCCCCGCATATTTAGTTTGGTTTTGGAACCACACCCAGCTCCTCTGCCCTTTCCTTTTCTTTTGTTTTGGGGTCACACCCAACAATGCTCAGGGCTCACTTCTAGCTCTGCACTCAGGAATCACTGCTGGTAGGCTTGGGAGAACACGTAAGGTGCTGGGGAATGAACCCGGTTTGGCCATTTGCAAGGTTAAACCCTACCTGCCATCACTCTAGCCCATAACTTTACCAAATATTTAGAAGGATCTTTATCTCATTTGGTCAGTTAAAACATAAGAGTGCCATTCAAATGAAAAATGATAGAATCTGGGAACTATCTGGATACCACAGGGTGAAGTGATGAGATTTTTCAATCTGAAACTTGGAATAAGAGTAACTTAAATGGAAAAAATCAAGAAGAAGCTATTTCAAAATAGAAATGCTTAACTTGTGTTTGAATGAAATCAAGATGCCAGGGAGAACACCATGTATAAACATCTAGCAAACAACTCTTCAGTCCCTGCTTGAACTTGAAGAGGTCAGGGCTAGAAATAACAGATTTAGAAATCATCAGAAAGGTTACAATCAAAGTACAGCTTACTGCTTAAGCTATAATAATGTGGCCCAAGGACCTGATTTAGATGAATCAGCAAGGTCTCCATGAATAAATCTATGGCTTCCTAACAGAAAACCAATCTGAAAGCTTTCTCCTGGGATGAAGGCATTTAGATGATATCAGTAGAATACCAATTGTCAAGAAAATTTAAAGATTATAAGCACCATGCAAAGAGTGTGGCTTAGGCAAAGTAGGAAGTTCTCTTTTAGAAACAGTAAATTCTCCTCTAGAAGGAAGGTATATATAGATTCATGAACAGTACCTGGGGGATGACAGCTCAGCCAGGCCTCTCCTTCATCCTTCCTGTGAAGAGACAAAAACCTAATTAAAGACTTACTCAATGACGAAAAGGGTGCAAGGGGAGAATGGGGATTATATAAGCTCCATTTTATTTATTAGTTTTACTTATTAAGTTTCTTGAGGAGGTCTACAATTTGCAGTGTCAAGAGTTACTCCTGGCTCTGACCTCAGGGATCATTTCTGGTTTCAGGGACTGGAGTGCTGGGGATCAAACCTGGGTAGGCTGAGTGCAAGGTAAGCACCTCACCTACCATACTATCTTTCCAGTCACATGGTCTTAAGTTTGGGACATAATCTAACATCTCATCCAATTACAGATTGTTTTTATTCTAAAACAAAGTTTACTCGTTGAAAAAATACTTGTGGTGTTATAGGTATTATAGGTGAATTAAATGAATGCTCATATATTGCATCAAAGACTTTCATTATTTCTTTTCAGCTCCACACCTTTGAAAATTAAGGTTTTATATTTAGATATTTACTAGAATCACTGTTAGCCAGGCCCCAAGCAAAACAATTTGCATGCCACATTATATGTGGCAACATGAATTCCCACAACTTAATGAAGTATCTTTTATTATCCTAACCTTACAGATAAAATCCTGAAGCTCACAGAAAAGTAATTTGCCTCAGGTCACCTAGCTGTAAAGCAGGAATCCAACCCTGGGACTTGTAAACAAAGGTCTGGTTCTTAGCACTTCATCCTGACTTTTGACATGTTTTAGAATGAACCTCTGGCAATCATCCAGATCCATGTTTGTTATCCTTAGGCTTGCAGGGTGTCGGAAGAAGTACCTACGCTTTTAAAGCATAAAGTTCAAGGCAGGCAGTAATTCTCTCTTCTATTAGCTGTATAGTTCATTATTTATTGGGTTTATGATTTTGGGCAAGTTACTTCTGATTATGATCCTGCATTACCTCATAGGCATCAACTGGCTCTCAATGAACTTGAGTGTTCATTCTGTGATGCTAAGCTGCATGCATGATACTTTGAATAGCCTAGAAATGAGTTGTTTCAACTCCATTAGGCTAGGTTTTATTCACCTTCACCACTGTTTCCATCTGACAAACCTGATTAGTAAGAACTGTTGCCCTTTGCGGCACTGCTATATGCTGCTAGAGTAATGACTTGCACGGTCTATGAATGCATGCAAAATGAATTTAGTGCATTTCCGTGGAAGTTGTCAGCATGAGGACAGGAACCAACCCCATATCTGAAGTATCTTTAACCTAGTATCCATCTAGGACAGGGCCTGGGAGTGGCTGGCGTTCCATGCACGGTTTTGTCCAACATTAGTAATATAGTACTAGGGGTCAAGTGGGATGGAACAGTCCATCACAAAATAGTCATGATGCATAACGAGGCTTGGCAAATAGGGTATTACTGCCAAATATTATGACTACTCAGCCAAGGTCGTCCTCCAGCTTATTCCTAGTTCCTGCGCGGAGATACAGCCTCAGGATTGCTCTTCCGAGAAAGAAAAACAATGACCATGTGCGTTTGCGACTTCCTTTCCTACCAGGCTCCCCTCAACACCTGATGAGATAATCCCTGTAACTATCTGGGGTCGGGCACGGCTCTCCTAAACGCAGTGGCAGCGTCCACTACCCGTCTCCTCCGTCCGGGGTCTGCGCCTGGCTTCACCTGATGGCTTGCGCCCAGTCGCTCTGAATCCTCAAAGGCGCCGCCATCTTGGCCCCGCCTCCATCAGCCCGCCTCTTCCGCTCTCTCCCGGAAGTGAGGGGCGGTGGCGAAGGCCGAAGGCGGGCTCCGTGGAGAGGGCACCAATGAAAATGCTGCCTCCCGACCTGCGCCTGCGCGCTCGCCACTAGCGGCTGGTTGGTTCCGGACTGCGGGGCCGGAAGAATTCCAAGTACCTGCACGACCCACGCTGCTGCGAATGCTCCTTCAGGGCGTCTAGTCCTTCTTGTTCGGTGAGCACCGTGTGCCGTCGTACCCGCACGCGCACGCGTCCTCTCCTCAGTGTGGGGAAGCATCCTCCGTTGACTCGGCCACCTGAATATTGCTGCTTTCCCGTCCTTGCATTCCTTCCTGTCCGGGCCAGCCTCGGCGATTCTGCTGCCGGGCTATTTAGCTTGCCCGGATCTCAAAGCAAGATCCTTCTTGTCTCCCCTAAGAGTGCGGTGGCGTTTGTTGATCCCAGCTGTATCCATGCACTTTTATTTAATCCTTGCAGTAATCCTGCGAATTGAATTTTAAGGAGGAAACTAAGAGATTGCATGATAAGGCGTGATGGGAATATTTGAGTCCTCATTAAAAAAAAAAAAATCTAGCAATCTTGAGCACTTTTCCATAGTGCTTGCACCAGGTTTGTCCCTTTTAAAGAACCTAGAGTGTATGCAGGAAGTGGAAACATGCACGATAACAGAAATTGTATGTAATAAATCCTCTGGACTTGCAGGCTCCTTGCTTTTTTTCTTGTTTAGTCTTCAGCCCTGTGTAGTAGGTATCTGTTTTTCAAGAGAGGTTACCGAGTGACTTGCCTGAGGTCACGCCAGTGAGTCAGTGAGGATGGTTTCCAGCCCAAGTTTTTTCAAAGTCATTCCCTGCCTACCCCTGACCCTTTATAGGTTATAGTGTCTCCAAATAAATTTTTGTTTGGGCTGTGAAGAGCTAAATCCTTCATGTGACTTACCCCATTGAATCCTATTGACCTCTAAAATCCCTGAAGTGACTTAACAAGGGCTTCCCAGGCTATTTTTTCTTTCTTTTTTTTTTTTTTTTGGTATGTTGCCCTTTGAATTTGTTATCTTATATTTATATTCTAGTCCCCAGTCCTTCAGAACTTCCAGTTTTCTCCTATGTCATATTTTTGTCACACCTCTTGCAGCTCTTCTGTTGACCAGGAATATTCTTTCTTCTATCACTGACTCCTTCTAATCTTTCCAAGTTTCGGTTTATAAGTCATTTCCTCCAGGAAGTCTTCCGTGCCTATTCCTGCTCTTAACCTGGATTAGGGTATTGCTCTACTGTGTTCTAGTCTGAGCTATTTCCACACTACTACACAGTGAACACTCTGTTGCCTAGATTATAATCTTCATGATGATACCAACTTACCTGTCCTGGTCACTCCTTTATCCTCACCTCTAGCATAGAGCTTGTGCATGATAGGTACATAAATCATTTGTTGAATGAATCACACAGAAAATGTAATGACAAGTCCTAGCTCCTTACAGCCTATCATGGTGAAATCAGTGCAAAGTTTGAATTCCTAGCTCTTGTCACTCTTGAGTTCCTTCTGCATGCTTCCTTAACAGAGGCTCTGCAGCAGATGATCTTGAGACCAAATACAGTTTATATTAATACAATTTATATTATACAGTTTGTATTTATATTACTTAGCATATAAGCTCATCTCTTGTCCTCACCCCTGCATGGTCTCCCCCAGCAACAATGAACTTTCTCCATCTTCCCATGTTAGACCTAGTTATTTTGATGTCTTCCAAGCATAAAATTGGTCTTTTCCAGCCTTTGGAGAAGCAAATATGAGTCAAGAAGAGAATTATTTGGGGGGTGGTCAGAGATAGCTTATCTAGAAAGGTGACTTTATCTTTTTCAATTTTTTTTTATCTAATTCAAATAGCAAAGTCAATTTGAGCATATTTGGTGCCATGCTAAAGATTCTCATACACTTTCCTTCTAATCTCACTTCAAGTCAGTTTTACAGGCCTACTTTCTGTCAGGTGTAGTACTGGGGGCAGGAAGGTGAATCTGGCCCATTGTCTGTCTTCATGTAGTTTTATCATCTCCTAGGAGAGACGAGGCATATAAATAGGGTATGAGCAATGGTTTGGTGAGTGTTCTTTATAGTAGAGGAACTCCACCAGAGTGAGAGTACAGTAGGTAAGGTACTTGCCTTGCACACGGCTAACCTGGGTTCAATCCCCAGCATCCCATATGGTCCCTTGTGCACTGCCAGGAGTGATTCCTGAGGGAGAGCCAGGAATAACTCCTGAGCAATGTCAGGTGTGACCCAAAAACAAATAGAGGAAGTCCATATGTAACTATGCCCCTGCTTTAATATTTTCTTCATTGATCTTCCAGAGATTACCCCCAAGATGTCAGCTCCAGGCCATGCATGGGTCCGAAGAGTGAAGAAGGAAGATGAGGAAGAAGACCCCCTGGACCAGCTGATCTCCCGCTCTGGCTGTGCTGCTTCCCACTTTGCCGTGCAGGAGTGCATGGCCCAGCACCAGGACTGGAGGCAGTGCCAGCCGCAGGTGCAGGCTTTCAGGAACTGCATGAACGAACACCAGAGCAAGCGGCGGGAGGAGCTTCAGAGAAGGAAAGAGCAAACCAGCGCCCCGCACTGAGACCTCAGACCATCTATGCCAGGTGGATGGCCCTGAAGAAACCAGCACCCAGCAAAATCAACAGGACGAAGAAATAGTAACAGTGGAAGTGTGAGCCAAGAAACAGAAGACCTAGGGAGAGTCTTGGGGCATGTGTATTGATAACCGAGGAGCTGTGGGTTTGGACATGAGTGAACGAAAGAGCTGCCCTGTATTCATGGCAAGATCAAACACGTCCTCGCCCTTCATATTTCCCTATTTTTAAATATTAGGCAATATTTGTCAAGTAAAACGAGTAAAGGGTTGTTATTCTACCTTGAGTCACTATGCCAAGTATTGATTACTTAGACATTTAAAAATAAATCTATAGAGGTCAGAATGATAGTACAGTCAGTAGGGTGTTTGCCTTTTGTGCAGTTGATTTGGGTTTGATCCCCAGCATTCCATATGGTCCCCAAACCCTCTTGGAGTGATTCCTGAGAACTGAGCTAGGAGTAAGTCCTGAGTACCACTGGGTATAGCCCAAAAACAAAACAAAAAGTAAATCTGTAAAGATTAGTTAATTTGGTCTTCATTTAGTCATAGGTTCAACAACAATAAGTTCTGTGACCTTCCCGTGGACCAGACACTGTTGGAAACTGACTTAAGGATGCTTAGTCTAATTTGAGAGAGAAATAAAAAGGAGGAGAGCCAGAGAGATGTTTACGTTGCTTAAGGTGCATGCCTTGTATGTGGCTGACCCTGTTTAATTCCTGGCACCACATGGTCCTCCCAACATTGCAGGATGTGGATGTGATCTTGATGGCTCCGAGCACTGCAGCACTGGCCTGTGCTTTCGAGCAAGCCAAGCATTGTGGGGAATAGCGTCTATTTAAAAAGACGGGCTGGAGCGATAGCACAGCGGATAGGGGTAGGGTGTTTGCCCTGCAAGCGGCCAACCCGGGTTCAATTCCCAGCATCCCATATGGTCCCCTGAGCACCGCCAGGAGTAATTCCTGAGTGCATGAGCCAGGAGTAATCCCTGTGCAATTCTGGGTGGGACCCAAAAAGCAAAAAAAAAAAGACCAGATTTCGGTCTTAGAACAGTAACTGGGTATATATCAAAAGACTAAGGGGTTAGAAGATAGTACAGCAGGTAGGACACTTGCCTCACATGTAGCCAATCTGTATTTGATCCCTCTTATCTCATGTGGTCCTCTGAGTCTGCCAGGATTGATTCCTGAGTGCAGAGGCAGGAGTGTGGCTCCAAATATCTATGGGGTACTTAACCCAAGCTGGTTGACTGCAGAGTTTCTTCTCAATCCCTACCATATGTTTCCTCAAATTGCACTGACTGCCACTTAACTAAATGTCTAACAACAGTTTGCTGAACATCTCAGGCTCTGTTTTTATTTCAATAAAAGTAACTTCCTCATAGGCATCCAAACTAAACCTTCTTCATAGAGTTATTAAAAAATGAGATAGGGGATGGAGAGATAGTACAGGGGGTAAGTTGCTTGTCTTGCACGCAGCTGACTTCCTTTCCATCCCCAGCATCCCATAAGGTCCCTCATGCACTGCCAGAGCATCACCAGGTGTGGAAAGGATGGAACGAAGGAAAGATGGCTCAAGACTGCTGCTTGTGATTCTGCAATAGAACTTTGGAAACCTAAAAGTAAGAGTGTCCTAGTTTCATTTATATTATCTCGATTCCTTCTAACACTCCAGTAGCTCCCCCTACTGAGGAGGAAATAAAGTCAAATTGAGGAGCAAACACCAAGTGTATACATTCTTGTAAGTTTTGCACTGGGCTCTACTCTGGGCTCTCACAAGCAAATTGTGCTCAGTGCAGATAGTAATTACACACACACACACACACACACACACACACACACACACACGCATGGGGGTGGGAAACTTTTTTATTTTTTAACAGGGGTGGGAAACTTTTAAAATATATCCAGAAAAGGAAATTCACCATTGTGACTTAGATGGATAGACTTTTCTTTAGTCTTGCTCTGCAGAGTACGGCTATGCAGATAACGTTTTTTAGTTTCTGTGCCTCTTTCATACAATACACCTGCCTCTGCAGAGAAGCTTGGTGCCAGGAATCAGGTGGAGAAACTGGCTGGGTGCTCTTGGCTAGGCCTGGAGAGACTCATGATTTGACTTTTCCCTACAAGGTCCTTGGTGGGGGACATGGCCTGTGCTCAGTGGAAAGGTGCACTGTAATGTGTTTTACAGGATGAGTAATAGGATACTATTCCCACTCTCCCTCAGGTAAAGTTGCCAGACTTAGTCCTTGGGTTGCTGACTTAAGAAATCCAAAGAGAACTGGAGCGAGTCCAAGCTGAAACCCTTGCGTTTCCACTGCTCGGAACACTAGGGTTCACGGCTCTGCTCCAGAGGAACTTACAGCAGCCAGAGGAAATGGAAGTACACCTTGCATTCACTAGCAGTTACCTCTGGAATGGGTCTTTGTTTTTCAGAGCTTCAGCATCTTTCAGAGCTTCTGCATTGTCTAAAGGGTAAGCTGAGTCCCTAAACCTAAGATGTCTAAGAAAAATAAGTTATTCCAGCAGGATTATAAGAGCTAGATAGACAATTTCAGATTCTCCAGGGCACAATGTACAGATGGAAGAAACGCAGACATACTGGCTGCCTCTGTCTGCACTGCCTCAGTCTACAGTGTTTTTCCAGCAGGTCAAGGGCTAGCCAGAGGTAGCCGGTGCAACTTGATTTCTTTCCTCAAATTCACTAATAGTTTTCTAGAACCTGCTCCCCCATGGGGTGCGGGGGGATTGATTGATTGACTTTGCTTTTGGGGGTCACACCCAGCAATGCACAGGGGTGACTCCTGGCTTTGCACTCAGGAATTACTCCTAGCAGTGCTCGGGGGACCATATGGGATGCTGGGGATCGAACCCAGGTCAGCCACATGCAAGGCAAATGCCCTACCCATTGTGCTATCGTTAATGGGCTGGAGTGATAGCACAGCGGGTAGGGTGTTTGCCTTGCACGCGACCAACCCGGGTTCGATTCCTCCACCCATCTCGGAGAGCTACTGAGAGTATTCTGCCCGCACGGCAAAGCCTGGCAAGCTCCCCGTGGCGTATTCGATATGCCAAAAACAGTAACAAGTCTCACAATGAAGACGTTACTGGTGCCCGCTTGAGCAAATCAATGAACAACTGGAGGACAGTGCTACAGACACTAACATCCTAGAACCAGAGAGGGCGTCTCTGAGCACTGCTACTGTTGAACTAGCCAACAAGTGGAGATTCCATTGGTTCATTGTTTTGTTTTTTCTTTGCAACTAAACTATACCTTTTTGTTTGCTTTTTATTTTGTTTTTGGGTATATCTGGCAATGCTCAGGGCTTTCTCCTAGCTCTGCACTCAGAAATGACTCTTGGCGGTACTTAGGAGGACCATATGGAATGCCAAGGATCGAACCAGGTTTGACCACATGTAAGGCAAGCACCCAACCAGCTGTACTATCGTTCTGGTCCATAAAATATACCTTTTAAGAAACCAGTTTGGGCCAGGGCTGTGGTTCAGTGGTAGAGCACTTGCCTTGCATTGTAGGGCTCTGTATTCAATTCCTGGTAATGCCTCTGATTTTGCCAAATGTGACCCCCTGAGCTGGGAGTAACTATCAAACACCACCAAGCCCCCCAAAAAAACCACAGCTGGTAATTTTGAGATTCCTAAAGTGAAGGAACAAGGCAGGAGCCCAGAGGAAAGAGACTAAAACATGAAGCTGAGGAATCAAATGGTCTTAATTAGGAAAACTGACCTAGGCATTTAGTCCTTCTTTAGAATTGCCAATCTATGTAAAAATCCTTTTCTAAAAGGCTCTGTAAGGTGCATTGAGCCAGGAATGTACTGACTATTAGGTTGGCCCAGGGACTCGGGTAGTACCATCTGCCTAAGGGGCTCGTTAAATCATGGCCCAGGGATTTCTCATTATTCCCAGGATTTCTTCATTTCTGAAACCTGCTCCAAAGCCCTGGAGCCAGCCTATTCCTAACCGCAGACTTCCTGTGCATCACTATAATTCCACCCCAGAATGCATATAGGGTGTGCCTTCACTGGGGCTTTCAGACCGGTGAACCTCATCCAGGAGTATTTCAACAAACCCATTCCAGCCTGATTTTTCTTTTGGTTCTCTCTTTTTTTTTTTTCCTGTGAGCCTGTTCCCAGACTTTTCAATGACTTGGAATTATGTCCTGGGGGGTGGAGAGTGCTTTGGAGGGGCCATACCCAGTGGAACTTGGGGTTTACTCCTGGCTCTGTGCTCAGGGATCACTCCTAGCAATGCTTGAAGTGAGTGAGTGCTGAGGGTGGAACTCAGGTCAGCTGTGTGCAAGCTCCCTGCCTGCCTTCCTGCCTCCTATTTCTCTGGCCCCTGGAAGGTAACTCATCTGTAAAATAAAAACCAAAACAGACTCATCAGAGGTTTTGTACTTAACCCAAATGTATTAGAGTCCAAACTGGAAATCGGTCATTCTGGTTTTGTTTGTTTTTGTTTTGGGGGTCACACTAGAGATGCTCAGGAGTTACTCCTGGCAGTGCTCTGGGGACCACCTGGGATGCCAGGGGAACAAACCCAGATTGGCCGTGTGCAAGGCAAACGCCCTTCCCGCTGGACTAACACTATGGACCAAGCCAGCAATTCTGACCCCCACTCTGTTGAGCTTCCCTGTCTCTGTCTTGCCTGTCCCTTGTGTTTTCACGGTAGTTCTTGGCACAGATTAACCCTGTCTGGAACCTTTGAAAACCAGTAGAATACTTCAGGATTGAATTACTGATACATGCAATATATGAATAAAACATTAGGGCAAATGAAAGAGTCAAACCCAAAAGGGTACATGCAGGACGATGTTTATATATAGTACTAGATAGGCAAAATTAACATGACTCTAGGAATGAAGTCAGTGGTTGCTTCTGGGGAAGGATGACTAGGAAAGAACGTTAGGGATTTTTCTGGGGTAATGGAAATGTTCTTTAATAGAAGTGAAGGTTTTGGCCTGAACGATGGTTCAAAGGAATGGAGCATATATGCTTTGCATATAGAAACCTGGGTTTGAGCCCCACCACCGGATGGTCCCCTAACCACTGCTAAGTGTGCCTCTCACCCCCAATAACAGCCACACACACATACAAAAAGTGTAAGCTTCATGGATGACTTCGTTTTAAAAAACAATCGAATACACACTTAAGCTTAAGCTTTCTGTGTTTCACTATGCATGGCAGAGCCTGGCAAGCTACCCGTGGCATATTCTATATGCCAAAAACAGTAACAATAATGGTCTCATTCCCCTGACCCTCAAGGAGCC